GATGGGCAACCTCAAGCATATGGAGCGACGCTATGCCTGGCTGCAGCACATGGTTAGGCACAGGAAGTTCATACTGAAGTACATCCCGACCACCGAGCAGCCGGCAGACTTCGTGACGAAGGTGCTGCATTTTCCGGCTTTCAGCCGGTGTTCTGACGCCATCGGCCAAGTTCGTCTGGACGACGTCGGCGACGGCGACGATGATGTGCAGTAGTAGGTGCCGTGCCCTCCTGCACGGCTGGTGCGGTGACGGCGTGCTGTGTGTGGGATGCACGCCGAGGACGAGTTTTCTCCGTGGAGTTCTGTCGTGTGGGCTGGAGGCCCAAGCGTGAACGCGGCAGGGGAGTGTTAACGGGAATGGAGTGTTGGCCCCGCCCTCGCTTGGGCAACGCCGACGACTTGGTTGGATGTACAGGAGTAGCAGCCGACCGTTCGCAGTGGAAGAGCTGCTCGACAGGTTTCGTCGAGCTGCAAGGGACCGCTGTGGTGTTGCTGTCGACCAGGGAGCTCGACAGCTACAACTGACTGGTCTGGGCGACGGGTGTGCCGTCGACCAGGAGGAGCAGTTCGACCGGGAGGTCGACGGAGCAGCCCGTCGACCTGACAAGTGTGCAGTGGTCGACGAGGGGAGCTCGGCGACAACAGCTGAGAGTTTTGATCGACGGAAGGGATTCATCGACCAGGGGGTAGCTCGACGGGAGCTGTGGTCGACCAGGGGCACCTGATGATCGACGGAGTAATTGGCTCGGCGAGTTCTGCGTATGCACGCGAACGTCGTCGAGGTCGCGATGGCGAAGGCGACTTCGGGTTGGTATCCCGAAGTCGATGTGGCTCGTCAGGTGCAGACAACAGCCGACGGATGCACAACGGTGCAAGTCGGGCCAATCGTCTGCGCGCACCTACGAGCGTGTGCACTGCTGTCTTCTACGGGGCAACGCTGGACACCCGCTCTGCTGCAGCGTTGGCACACCGTCGACCTACTGTGTTGGCAAGTTTCCTTTCTGCAGTGCTGGCGCGGCTCCTCTACGCAACGCTAGCAGGCGGTCGACCATGCTGTGCTGTCAGTCGACCAGGCTAGCTGCAGAGTTGCTAGGTGCCTGATGTAGTCATTGTTGTTATTTGCCTATAAAACAATTATTTAATTCCAACTTTGCTATTGGAAACTCTTGCCGATTTCTCCCGTGATTGTGCAAGCACTAAGGAACTAGGCAAAATTACGATCACTCCTAGTAGTTCGTGCCAACCCCCGTAGTCTAGCTCACCACCGTTGTAGAGTGGTTCTCCACAGAAGTCGGGGTCGAGATCTGGTGGATGTGTCTAAGAGGTGAAGTTGACAATGGCGTCGCTGTCAGCGGTGCCTTGGTCTGGAACGGAGTCAAGGAGGAAGACATTGTTCTTCAAGACTGCCTTGCCGATGTAGAGTCCCCCTCTCCCGTGGTACAGCTTGAACTCCTGAGTGGTGCTGTCTGCTTCGAGATGAATTCCCTTCGCCATTAGTCTACTGATGCTGAGTAAGTTATAATCGAGTCCTTCTGCGATTAAAATCTTCGACATTTGCAGAATAACGTTGGTTTCTCGAGATTGATGTTGAACTATCCCCTGTCGTCGTGTGTGCAGGTTCTGGTTGTTGGCGACGGTGATTACGACTTCGCGCTGAAGTTGGTGTTCTCGTTGAACAAAACGACCCGAGGAGCACATGTGCTGTCCGCAACAGCTGTCCCAGAACCAGGTATCTTTCCCGGACGGCTCGCTCTAGGCGATGGCTGCATACGTTGGGTTGGGCTCCAGTGATTCACGGCGAGGAGTGCTCTCGTCGAGCTAAATTTCTGGTGAGTAGTCTGGTGGTGATCTGGTGATGCAGGAGTTTGTCGTTCTTGTCATGCATCTCACGATGTTTCTTGTACCTTATGCAGGTTTTGTCGTCGATGACGTTGAGGATTGTACTTGATTGGTGGGATGCGCCTGTGTAGAAGCCACTTGACTGCTTGAGGGCCGAAGTTGACGTTGTGACGGCGTTGATTGCTGCTGATTCGGGAAGTGTGTGCGAGGGTGTCCTGATGTCTTGCAGACATGGCAGAACGGTGGTACGTACTGTTGAGCTTGATGTTTGTTCTGTCGATTGTTGTTGTTGTAGCGCCGTTGAGTGTGAAACGCGAACTCTGGTGCTGACGCTCTCTTCTTGTGTCGTTCTTCGTATAGGTCCATGTCCTGCTGTTCAGTGTGAATTTCAGTGAAGAGTGCTGCTTCGGAGATCTCGGAGGAGTGCTCGAGTGGAGCGCCAATGAGGACCGAGACAAGCGATGACAATTGTCATGAAGGCTTCTTCGGATATCGATCCTCCGCATCGAAGGAGTCTGTCGCGCAGTCCACGACAACGGCTGATATACGCCATCCCCTTTTCGCCGGGTTTCATTTCCACTGTTGTCAGCTGTGCCATGAGACGACTTTGATTAACACTGTCTGTTCCTTGATACAGGTTCTTCAGGTGGTCGTACGCTAGCTTGGCGGAGTTGCCGTACCCTCGATAAGACTGGATGTTTTGCTGCTCGTTTGGCGTTATATTTCGTAGAAGTATCGTGTACGCCATCAGCGATTGATATGTGTACTGCTGCTTGTCGTATTGTGTCCCATATGTTGGGTATGGCAGGGACTCGTCGAAGAATCCAAAAATTTGCGCGCCCTCCATTATCAGCTCGAACTCGAATGACCAGGTATAGAAGTCTTTTCCATCAAAGGGTGTCGATGTTCGCAGTTTTAAAATGTGTCCGAACTGTGATTGAACCTGAAGCGCGTCCAGTGTCTTCTCTTGCCCATGTGAAGGCTGTTGGTGTGGCGTGAAGCTGATGGAGCCACGTTGTGGTTCGTATGGAGCAAAGGTAGGTTGCTGTTGGTTTCCGCGCGCATAGGATGAACCGTCAAGACTCGTTGGGGTAACCCTATTGTTGTTGTCGCTGTTGTTTGATTGCGCAGGTGCTGCTCGTAGAAGGACATGAAGGAGAAAAATTTCTCCATCATGCTTGGGTCGAAGCCTGTTGTTTGATTCCCGGGAGTTTCGGTAGACTCCGCAGCTGGTCTTGTTGCTGTGCCTTCCTCTGTCTGTAGGCCAGAGGCTGGAGGTGGAGTAAGAGTAGTGCTGGGAGATCCGTTGGAGGAACTCCTCTCCTTCTTAGTTGCCATGCGTTGTGCTGTTGTAGGAGTTTGAGTAGTTGATCTTTTCTTGGAGGCTCTCATACCATGTTGGGCTGAGAAAAAACCCTTAGGATCTTTTCAAGGCTAAGAATTTGGGTAAAGATGTTGTAATTTGCGGAAGCGTATAATAAGATTGCTGAACCACCTTGCACTAGTGTGTGAGAGCAAGATGAATTGTTAAAGAAAAGAGATACAATGATATATATATATGATTACAAGGAATACGAAGAGGTGCGATTAACTGTTTTTGCTGTTGCGGTTCGATACAGTAACGACTCGGGCAACTGCTCAATACCGAGTCATTTGTTTGTCCTTGCTGTCGGGCTGTATTTTCGTCGAGTCAAATGTCGCTGACCTTTGACCTTCGCGTAACCTCCAGCTGTTACGTTTGTTGACTCGCATGTTGCTTCACTGTAGTCTGCTTCGTTCATGTTATTACTTCGATACTTCAGAAGTGTTAAATTGCTTGTTTCCAACAACAACAAAAAAAATATAAGGCATGATATATATATTCACAATATAATAATTACTAAGGTAAAAATAAATTATGTATTTTTAATTCTGGGTAATAACTGTATGGAATTCGAAAACACTGAAAGAAAATGAAACATCAAATAGTTGTGGATGGAGAATGTGCATTGTTAAGCATAAGGATCGAGGTATAAAGCATGTAGAGACAATCGATGTATTGAAAAAGCTTCTAACGCTTTTTGGTCGAAGGGAGGGTAACCACATGAATCATCAGCAGTGCCCTGCATGACGATCGTGATTGTCTATGCAGCTTCCGAAAAGATTTAGGAGGCTTCGCCTTGGGTCAGAAAGAATCGTTACCAGCGCATCGGCAACCAATTACAAACGCACTTCCCATACACACGCCTCACCCTCGTTATTGCTGACCTGGCGCATGATGCTCATATGTGAGGCAATCTGAACAAAAAAGAGTTGAAATACATGAATCGCCAACAAAAACGGATCATTTAATTTTATTTCGAGCTGTTTGTTGCTTCCGAGGTTGGTTGCAAATACAACAGGCATCCAATCGAGGTTCTACGTTTAGGACCTATCCTGAAGTGGCCCAGCTAGTTCGCTGGTTCACTTCCTAAAGATGAGGTCCCGGGATTAAATCCCCCCTGCGGCGTTTACAGTCATTCCCCACTAAAAGGGACTACACAGGTGCTCATCTGGGAGTGGATAGAACAACCTCGTACCCAGCGAGGCGTGTAAACACATGGGGAGGCGGGTTACGTCCGACAGCCGGGGTAATACCAAAGGGGGTTTCCCCTATAACCTCTACGTTTAGGACCGTCTGTGTGCCATGTCAATGATACTAAAATATAAACACGTACATACCTATCTGTAACTTTTGAGATCAGATTCTCGATTCAGAATAAGTTATTTGTACATTTCAGGCTTTTCAACTGGTTTTTTTTGTTTGTTTGTTTGTTTGTTTTTGTTTCCTTTCTAGAGGACGAATGCCTGGACTGTGTCCTACCAAAGAAAGACATTCGAGGGTCTTTCTCACCAGGATTCGTCGCTGACTCGAGAAAATAAAAGAGTACGCTTCTCGATGTTTCTTCTGCCATGACGTCAGCGACTTTTGCATTGGATGCTTCCTGTTCCATCTATCTGGGTGGGTGGAGGCCTTGATCGCGAAACGAGAGTTTAGAAAAGCGAACAGCATCTCACCTCTTATCTCATAGCTATGATTCGATGCCCTTTTCTCCAACACTTGCCTTCAAGTTCAGACACTTGCTCAGAGATTTCAACAGACCATCAAGGTGTTGAGTTTTGCGGGAACCTGGTTAGACGCCATGCCAGGCGACTTACCAGGTAAGCTACAGGTTGTTGTTTAAGCTCACATTCGTTGCTCGTAGGCCTTTCAGAACTTCCCCTGGCCTGCTATTCGTTGCATACCTTTCTACGTCGTAGTAAGTCTCCTCTCTCTTCGTTGTATCCCTACGGGTCTTGATTTCTCCAGTCGCGGCAGGTCATGCAAGCGAACATCCGAGCGACGCGAGGCATCAGCCGACGAACGGTAGTGCGGTCGAAGCGAATGGACTAGGGACCAACGGAAAGGACGCTGAAAATGGCGAGAACGGCGCGTTTACTAAGGGAAACGGTAGTTTTTCGGAGAAACATCATGGCTCCAACGGTCACTTGCTGTTAGAGGAGGTGCTGGAGACTGCTGACGTGGCGAAGTTGACTCACGCGCAGCGCAAGGCTCTGGTAGAGCACGCGCTAAACACGCTCGACCAAGACAATGAAGGGTTCCTCTCCAACTTCGCCGCTAGACTCGAGAGGTGCGTCGCACGGCAGCAAGAACACGAGATGTGGATCGTTCAGTCATTGAAGGTCACATTCACATGGCCTCCAAGAAACTGCTCACACGTTCGTTTTTAGAAGCGACTCATTCGTTCCGAACATATTCGGCTTCCACGTGGTTCTTAAAAGAACAGTTTCAGTTCCCATTGCGTCCCACGCGGCCTGATATCCCAAGTTGAGGTTATCTCCCGGTTATCTCCCCCGTTGCTGCTCATTGCCATGGTTGCCACGTGGCATGAGCGATCTTGTTCGCAGGGTGGGCGTCGCGATTCCAACGGTGGAGGTGCGCTTCGAGGACATCCACGTGGAGGCGGGCGTGTACGTGGGCGACCGATCCGTGCCCACCCTGCCTAACTACATGCGCGACGTGCTCTCCGTGAGTCCCTGCTTCCGTCCCCCCCTGCTTCCGAGTCGTCACGGCCTTCCCCACGTTGCCTCTCGTCGCTGCTCCCGCATTCTTGCAGTCACCTCACGTGCCACCACTTCCCAACCCATCCCTTATTCACTGTGGCTAATTTCGATGACTGCGAAGCCATTCTACCCAGCGTCCTTTTCTCTCTCGTTCTCAACACCGCCACTCATTTATTACGACGCTCTCCCGTCTCGCTTCTCCCCTTTCCCCTTTCTCCCTTTCTTTACTTCTCCCCTTCATCGTGGCCGGATCCCGTGCGCCTGACCGCAGCAACTGCCCCGTGCGCTGCATCTAATGCGCGACTCGCGCCAGCGCCTTCCCATTCTCAACGGCTGCTCAGGCATCCTTAAACCAGGCCGGTACGAATCCTCAAGAGCTGAGCATCTTGCAGCCCGAGCTATTTACGTGAGACTGCTGCGCGCGCTGGTGCCTCAGTCTGAGGCATAGCATGCAGCACGGCCGCACACGATGCTGGTGTCACCGCGCTCCGTCTTCCCTGCTCATCCTTCTTACTCTCTCCCTCTTTCTCCTCGAATGCGCTCCCGTTCCTCGTGTTCTGAAACGTGTACAGGCTGACGCTGCTGCTGGGCCCGCCAGGAGCTGGAAAGAGCACGCTCCTGCAGGCGCTCGCTGGGTTGCTGCCCAAGGACGTGAAGGTGACACGCCGCTGGCCTTGCTCGTCAGCATCATGATCATCATGATGCTGCTACTGTCTTTTCTCTTCTCGCATATCCATGCATGCAGTTCCTCGTCTTCTTTCCACGTCATCTCTTTTCAGCTCCCGCGTCATGATGTACTGCCTTACGCCCTATGCTCCTCCACTCCACAGCGACCTCTCATCATGGTCCGCTCATCTGTCGCGTCCTCACTCGTTCCTCCTCTTTCGACCCGTTCTCCTCCCACTCCAACCCGTGCGTGTGGCCTCGCTGCCTCACCCCCCGACACCCACACCCGCCCCTTGTGCTTGCAGGCGTCGGGCACGAGCCGGGGGAGTTCTATCTGCCGCACACGGCGGCGTACGTGCCGCAGACCCAGGCGCACATCGGCGAGATGACCGTCAGGGAGACCTTCGACTTCGCTGCGCGCATGCAGGGGCCCGCGTACCGCAAGGGTGAGTGGGTGCCACGGCGGTGGGGGGACAGAGCGAGGGTGAGAGGCACGTGGTGTGGTGGGGGGTGCAGCTGTGGTGAGAGATGCAAGGTGACAGCATGTGCGGTGGTTTACTGGACTGTGTGCCCAGTCGATGGCACTCACCAAAACACTCGTACTCTGTCATTGCTGTCGTTGTGTGGGCGTGTGTTTTGTCGTGTGTGCGTGTATCTGATGTATATTCTCCCGCGTTTCTGTTTGCAGATCTTGTGAGGGAAGTGGAGGAGAAGGAGAAAGAGACAGGCACGATACCGGATCCGATCATGCAGCAGATGATGAGGGTCAGTTACCGCACTCCCTCTCACTGCACCTCTCCAACCTGCCATTTTCCTTGCTTTCATTCCCTCCACCGTATTTTCAAGCTTCTCCTGGCCCTTCCGTGTAACGTGTCGTCCAACCCTCTCCGCCCTTCCCCTCTGTGCCTTCCTCCGCACTCTCTCCTTTCACGTCCTCTCTCCCTTGCGCCCATTCCTCTGATCTCACCGTTGGCGGGCGTGGTGCGGGCAGGCGATGGCGTTGGAGGGCAACGCTACCAGCGTGCTTACAGACTATATTGTCCATGTGAGTGCCGCTGCAAAGGGGAGGAGGAGGGAAGGGGAGGGGTTGGGGCGGTGCAAGGAGAGTGCAGGGTGGAGTGTGGAGAGTGGAGGGTAAGGGTGGAAGTGGAGAGTGGGGTTACGCGAAATTGAAAGTGGAATATGGAGAGGGAGAGAAATCCATGGAAAATATAGATCATGAGGTTGAAGAGTGCACGAAGCGAAGTGATACTGGCACCGTGGTATGATTGACTCATGCCAAGCGTCGAAACCATTTTCAGTGTTCCTCTTCCTGGTCTCGCATCTCCACCCACCCCCCTCCCCCGTTTTCATTTGCCTGCTGTTTCGTGTGTATTCCTACGTTTGATCTCCTTGCTCCTCGTTCCCCACCTCTCATCCAAGCTACTCTTATTAGCTCATCTTCCCCAATCCCTCCCTCTCACATGCCTCCCTACTCCACCCACCTGTCCTCGCCGTGCCCGTGTGTGCGTGTGGGTGCGAGCGAGTGACCAGATCCTGGGGCTGGACGTGTGTGCGGACACGGTGGTGGGCAGTGCACTCAGGCGAGGCATATCGGGCGGCCAGAAGAAGCGAGTCGCTACTGGTACGCCCACCCTCTCTGTGCTGTGCATGGAGATTGCATGCTATGGGGAGAACGCTGGGAAGTGGGGCTGGGGGAATACCAGGAAGGTGGTGCAGCAAGGGCGTGACACGGCTGCCACAAGTTTCGCACTCACCAACCATCCCTCCCTCCTCACCCTCCCCTCCCTCCCCTTGCCCCCTGGCCCCCATGCGTGGCACCAGGCGAGGCGCTGGTGTCAGCGAAGCAGGTCCTACTAATGGACGAGATCAGCACGGGCCTCGACTCCTCCACCACCTTCCTCATCACGCGCTGCCTGCGCCACATCTCGCACCTGCACCGCGCCACCACGCTCGTCGCCCTCCTGCAGCCGGCGCCCGAGACGTACGAGCTGTTTGACGACGTGCTGCTGCTGGCCGAGGGCCACGTGATCTTCCACGGCGCGCGCGAGGATGTTCTGCCCTTCTTCAACTCGCTCGGCTTCCAGTGCCCGCCCAGGAAGGCCGAGGCTGACTTCCTGCAGGAGGTGCTATCAGTGAAGGACCAGGGGCAGTACTGGGCCAACACAGAGCAGCCGCACCGCTTCATCCCTGCACAGGCGCTTGCTGCCGCCTTCAGCGACACACAGCGCGCCAAGGAGCAGCAGGCTCAACTCTCCGTACGTTGCTGCTCGCCCTTACCTGCACCTTCCACGCCCTCCTTAGCACGAAAGTGATTTGCTGTTGCTCTTGCACTCACCGGTGCCCCCGTGCCTCCCTTGCACTCCCCGTTGTTGCTGTCGTATTGCCAAGTCGCGCTGGTGCTGCTATCTGTGAGGCCGGTCGAGACACAGCAACTGAACACAAGAATGTTACCAAGGCAACAACATCCTTCCATCACACCTTCCCTTGCCTCCTCCCCGCCCACTCCCTGCCACCAGACGCCGTTCCCCAAGGAGAGCAGTCCCAAGGGAGCACTGGAGCACCGGCAATACGTGCTGACGGCGCGGGAGATCTTTGACGCCATGGTGCAGCGCCAACTGCTGCTCTTCAAGCGCACCTCCTTCATCTACTTCGCCTCCATCGCCAAGGTCCGTGCACACCGCTCCCCACCGCACTCCACTGCTGCTTCCAACGCCACCACCGCCACAAGTTCCTCGTCGCGCGATCCTCACTCCATCCACTCCCTCCCTCCCGCCGTCCCTCTACGGCCCGCAGATCATCCTGATGGCACTAGTGACGTCCACAGTGTTCCTGTTCCCTGAGATGCACGTGACAGTGGCAGGCGGGCAGATCTACCTGGGAGCCATCTTCTTCGGGCTCATCGTGATGCTCTTCAACGGTGGCTCCGAGACGCCCATCCTCATAGAGCGTCTGCCCATCTTCTACCGCGAGCGCGACGCGCTGCTGTACCCTGCGTGGTCCTACGCCATCCCCATGGCGCTCATCTGCATCCCCTACTCTGCCGCCCTTGCTGTCGCATGGACGTCCATTGTCTACTTCCTCGTTGGCTTCGCCCCCAACGCCGACCGGTACGCTATGCATGCACTGCTGCTCTGCTGCCACGCCGTTCTGTGCCATGGTGTCCCATGGTTGTGTCTTGTGCTCAAGTCCTGCTTTCCGTGGTGGTGACCTGGTGATTGTGATTATTTCAACCCTGCACGGAGGCATAACGGCTCTTGTGGTTTCCCGCCGATCACCGTGTGTGCTGCAGGTTCTTCACGCAGATGCTGATGTGGTTCCTCATTCACCAGGTGGGCATGTCGCTCTTCCGCTTCGTCGCCAGTGTGGGGCGCAGTCGTGGTGTCGCCAACACCTTTGGCACCTTCGCCCTCATCGTTCTCTTCCTCCTCGGAGGCTTCGTCATTGCCAAAGGTGAAAGCCGCCCTCGCATCACTTGCCCATTGCTGCACTGCATGTTGCCTGCTTTTCCACCTACTCTCGAATTATGTATCTCTCTCTGTGCCCGCTGCCCTCCATGCTGGCCCCAGCACGAGCCCATGCGACGCTCACTGTTACACCGCGTGACCTATGGATCCGCCTTTTCTCAACATGTCCGCACGTGCCGTACGAGGCGCAGCGCTGTGATCCTCATCTCCGTTTCTCATTTGCCACTCGTCGCTTCCCTCCATCCCCCACTGCTGCTGTGGGCAGAGAACATCCCCCCGTGGTGGATCTGGGCGTACTGGATGTCACCACTGGCCTATGCACAGAACGCCCTCGCAGTCAACGAGTTCAAGGCACCCCGGTGGCAAGTGGTGCGTGCCCTCTGCGTGGGAGCAAGGGGAATGTTGTAGAGGCGCTTGCATGCATTGCGAGTGAAAGAGGGATAGAGAGTAGCAGGAATGGTCCATCCAAGAGCTACATTGTCATCATGCCTCCTTGATTGGACACGTCTCAAAGGATCTCCCCACCACATGCTGTGTCCTCTGGTCTGTGTGCTGTCGGTCGTGCGTGTGCTCCTGTCCTGTGCGTCCCCCTGGCAGCTCGCGCCAGGCAGCAACATGACCATGGGCGACATAGTGCTCATGTCTCGCTCCCTGCCCACGGACGACAGCTGGCGCTGGATTGGCATCGGGGCCTTCGTCGGTTTCATTCTCGTCTTCAACTCCCTCACCATCCTCGCCCTCACCTTCCTCAATCGTACGCGCCCAATCCCCCATGCTCCTCTCCTTTCTATCGCTTTTTCACCTCGCACCTCACTTATTTCGACCATCTCATCTCTCCCCTCTCCAACGTCCGACCATCCTGTCGGCCTCCCTCCGGTTTCTGATTGCCCACAATTTCATTCTGTCCTAATTCCCCATTCGTCCTGTTCCGTAATTGCACATCCCTTCGCCCACTCGTACCATTTGTTTCCATCTTCTTTCTTCCGCGGTCAGTCTACCCGTCCTTCAACAACCACGCCCCCACTCTCAACCCCCCTCCTCTCCCCATTCCCATCCCCATCCGCCCATCTCCCTTTCCCCCCGCCTATACAGCGTACGCGGCAGAGCAGCAGGTGGTGTCGGAGGAGCAGCTGCAGGCGAGGCACATGGCGCGCACGGGGGAGATGATGGACGAGAAGAAGCGCAGCAGGGGCAGCAGGCAGCGCAGCAAGTCTCGTGGCAGCAGGAGCAGTGGGGCGCTGGACAAGTACCGCAAGAAGAGTGTGGATGCCTCTGCAGGTCCGTGCCTCCTGCTCCTGCTCCAGCTCCTGCTGCTGTTGCTGTTGCACGCACCTCCCTCATGCTTGCCGGCTCCCGTTCCCCTCTGTCTACTCTGAAGCAGGCCGCTCTTTCGCTTGCTCGCTGTGACTGCCCGTCGTATCTCACCTTGACCCATTCGCATCCCCTTGTGTTACCCCTGTGCACCTCACTCACCCAACGCCTCCCGTCTGCCCTTCCCTCCTTCCTCCTTTCCCTCCCTCCTCCGCTCCCCCTTCTCCCCTTGCAGATGCGTCGGCGGTGGCGGAGGCGGGGGAGGCGGGGGTGCGGGGCATGGTGCTGCCGTTTGAGCCGCTGTCTCTGTCCTTCAGCAGTGTCAACTATTACGTGGACATGCCTGCAGAGATGAAGGCGGAGGGCGCTGAGGGCGACCGCCTGCAGCTGCTGCGCAACGTCTCCGGCGCCTTCCGCCCCAAAGTGCTCACAGCCCTCGTGGGTGTGTCGGGCGCGGGGAAAACGACGCTCATGGACGTGCTGGCAGGGAGGAAGACCGGGGGGTACATCGAAGGGGACGTGCGCGTTTCCGGGTACCCCAAGGTGCACGAGACGTTTGCGCGCGTGTCCGGATACTGCGAGCAGGACGACATTCACACACCGCAGGTGACGGTGTACGAGAGTCTTCTCTACTCGGCGTGGCTGCGCCTGCCCCAGGACGTGGATAAGGACGTGAGGGAGGACTTCGTGGAGGAGGTGATGGAGCTGGTGGAGCTGGAGGCGCTGAGGGGCAGCATTGTGGGGCTGCCGGGGTTGAACGGGCTGTCCACGGAGCAGCGCAAGCGCCTCACCATCGCCGTTGAGCTCGTCGCCAACCCGTCCATTATCTTCATGGATGAACCCACCTCAGGTAGGTTATACCTCCCCCCAGGTATACCTATCTCAGATAACACCCGCCCATTGTAGTGGAGCTCATAGCCAACCCCGCCATCATCTTCATGGATGAAATGAAACCCACCTCAGGTGCTGATCCTGCACCACTGCTCCTGCAGCGCTGGCTGTTGTAGTAATGCGACTCTCTTGCCCGACCAATGCTGCTCCACTCCACAGTGGCCCATTCTCGTTGGATATATTTCACCTTGTGCCTCTTTTACATATTCCTTCTTCCCCATCCTCCAAACCCCAAACCCGACCTTCTTCCTCCTGGCCTCTCCCCTACATCCCTACGTATACATGGCAGGGCTGGATGCGAGGGCAGCGGCCATAGTGATGCGCGCGGTGCGCAACACAGTGAACACGGGGCGCACGGTGCTGTGCACCATCCACCAGCCGTCCATCGACATCTTTGAGTCCTTTGACGAGGTGAGACAGAGATACGATGAGTGCTTGTATAAGTGTATACTAAGAAGACAGCATGGGGCCGCACCGTGCTCTGCACCATCCACCAGCCGTCCATCGACATCTTTGAGTCCTTTGACGAGGTGAGACAGAGATACGATGAGTGCTTGTATAAGTGTATACTAAGAAGACAGCATGGGGCCGCACCGTGCTCTGCACCATCCACCAGCCGTCCATCGACATCTTTGAGTCCTTTGACGAGGTGAGACAGAGATACGATGAGTGCTTGTATAAGTGTATACTAAGAAGACAGCATGGGGCCGCACCGTGCTCTGCACCATCCACCAGCCGTCCATCGACATCTTTGAGTCCTTTGACGAGGTGAGACAGAGATACGATGAGTGCTTGTATAAGTGTATACTAAGAAGACAGCATGGGGCCGCACCGTGCTCTGCACCATCCACCAGCCGTCCATCGACATCTTTGAGTCCTTTGACGAGGTGAGACAGAGATACGATGAGTGCTTGTATAAGTGTATACTAAGAAGACAGCATGGGGCCGCACCGTGCTCTGCACCATCCACCAGCCGTCCATCGACATCTTTGAGTCCTTTGACGAGGTGAGACAGAGATACGATGAGTGCTTGTATAAGTGTATACTAAGAAGACAGCATGGGGCCGCACCGTGCTCTGCACCATCCACCAGCCGTCCATCGACATCTTTGAGTCCTTTGACGAGGTGAGACAGAGATACGATGAGTGCTTGTATAAGTGTATACTAAGAAGACAGCATGGGGCCGCACCGTGCTCTGCACCATCCACCAGCCGTCCATCGACATCTTTTGAGTCCTTTGACGAGGTGAGACAGAGATACGATGAGTGCTTGTATAAGTGTATACTAAGAAGACAGCATGGGGCCGCACCGTGCTCTGCACCATCCACCAGCCGTCCATCGACATCTTTGAGTCCTTTGACGAGGTGAGACAGAGATACGATGAGTGCTTGTATAAGTGTATACTAAGAAGACAGCATGGGGCCGCACCTACTCTGCACCATCCACCAGCCGTCCATCGACATCTTTGAGTCCTTTGACGAGGTGAGACAGAGATACGATGAGTGCTTGTATAAGTGTATACTAAGAAGACAGCATGGGGCCGCACCGTGCTCTGCACCATCCACCAGCCGTCCATCGACATCTTTGAGTCCTTTGACGAGCCAAGCCTCCCGCCCCTGCTTGCTCCCACCTCCTCCCCTCCTCCCCTCGCACTCCACTCCCTGTATGATGTTCCTCCTGGGTCCATCCTATACGGACCGAGCCATCCCCTGTCTGCATCTGCACTTGCTGCCTCTGACCATCCGTTCTGTTGCGTGAAGCCTGACCAACTCCCATGTGCCTCTCCACGCTTTGTTCTCTCCACAGCTGCTGTTGATGACGCTGGGAGGGCAGGTCATCTACTTCGGCCCTCTGGGCGTGCAGTCACAGCACCTCATAGACTACTTCCAGGTACCTTCCTCTCCTCTCCCCACCACTCCCCACCACAACTCATGCGGCACTCCCTTAGGTATTCTGTTGCCTTTCCATCTTCCTGTGAGCAGTTTTGTGTGCCAGATGCAGCCCCCTCCCCGCTCCTCTCCTCCACCTCTGCACTCCCACTGCTGTGCCTCTTCCAACCCATGCAAGTCTCCATCTGCGCTTTCCCCTTGCCCGCTGCTCTCCTCGCAGGCTGTGCCGTCGGTGCCTCGCATCCCGACTGGCTACAACCCTGCCACGTGGATGCTTGACATCACCACGCCAGCAGCATCGGAGCGCACGGGCGTTGACTTTGTTGACCTCTACCACAAGTCGGACCTCTTCAAGTAAGCCTCTGCTCCAGCCATCTCACCTTTCTCCATCGCACCCAGTCGCAACGCACCCACTCGCATCGCACTCACGATCTCACAACACATGACACCTTTATCTGCACCTCTCCCTCCAACCGCGCATGCCTGCCAGACCTGCCTGGATCGCCTCCTCTTTTCGGCCTGCTCCTCTCACCCTCTCGCATGCCGCCCCACTCTCGTCCCCATCCCTACTCCCACCCCCACCCCCTCCTCCCCCTCGCTGTGTCCCCCATCAGGCGCAACCAGGAGCTAGTGGAGTCACTCAGGACCCCCCCGTCCGGGCAGAACGACCTGCACTTCGCCACGGAGCACTCCACGTCGTTCCTCACGCAGTTCTACGTGAACCTGTGGAAGCGGGCCGCCATGTACTGGCGTGCGCCCGACTACAACGCTGTTCGCTACATCTTCTGCACCGTCTTTGCTCTCCTCATCGGCCTCGTCTTCTTTGGTCTTGGCAAGAAGACGGCCACCATGCTCGATGTCTTCAACGTCATGGGTGCTCTTTACACCACGGCTATCTTCATGGCTTGGAACAACTCGGCCGCCGTGTAGCCGCTCGTGGCAGTGGAGCGGACGGTGTATTACAGAGAGAAGGCCGCAGGGCTGTACGGTGCGCTGCCGTATGCGTTTGCGCAGGGGCTGATCGAGCTGCCATACGTGCTGGTGCAGACGTTTCTGTACTGCATCATCACGTACGCGCTGGTGCAGTTTGAGTGGACGGCGGGCAAGTTCTGGTGGTACTTCCTGTTCATGTTCATCACGCTCTTCTGCTTTGTCATGTACGGGCTGCTCGCCATCTCCATCACGCCCAACGAGCAGCTCGCCATGCTGCTCTCCTCCTTCTTCGTGCCCTTCTGGAACCTTCTCTGCGGCTTCATCGTCCCCCGGCCGGTGAGCGCACACGCTGCTTTCTCCCGAGTCTCGACTGCTAGATTGACTGTTATCCTCCCTTCGCATCCATTGGCCTTCTTTCTCGCTATTTTCTTCGCTATGTTCCATAGACGCAAGTTGACACTCCCAGAGCTGACTCCACTGCCATTGTATCCGCCATGTGTGTTACCTGCATCTTCCTTACCTCCAGGCTCCACCTGTGTAGGCTGATGACTAAACTCCCCCCCCCCCCCATGCTCCCCTTCCCTTTCGCTCCTTTCCCTCCTGGCCACGACCCACCTATTCCAGCAAATCCCGGTGTGGTGGCAGTGGTTCTACTGGCTGACGCCCATCTCCTACAGTCTCTACGGCTTGATTGAGTCGCAGGTATGCTGCCAAGGACACACATTGATATTTTCCCTGCATGTTGCCTCCTTGCCTGCCCCATTGAGCCCATGTTCTTTCCCAACGGAGAAACCATAGACACACACACTCACACTCTCTCACGCACACAAGACATTCTGCAAAACACTCGCATAGCAGGACGGGTGTGAATGTGTGCAATGAATCCCAACATGCTCGTACGCACTACGTGCTCACTTTCTCCCTGCCCTCCTCCCTCCTCAAACCCCCTCCCCCGGCCGCCCCTTTCTCCTCGCCACACTTTCGTCGTGCTGTGTGTGCAGCTGGGAGACATCACCACGCCCATACAGGTGAACGGAATGACGGGCACTCAGACAGTGGAGAGCTTTCTGACCAATTACTTTGGCTTTGAGGCCTGGTTCCTGCCCTACGCTGCACTCATCCTCGTTGCGCTCACCATTGTCTTCTTCTGCTGCTACGCATACGCTGTCAGGAAGGTTAACTTCCAGAGGCGGTAGGTGGAACGAGTGTAGAGCAATGGCCAGGGAACTGGCTTTAGTGTGTTACTCTTGCTACAAACATTACTGGGCCTTGGTGTTGGAATGTTTGTATTAACTGTTAAACTTAAAGCTGTCGCCTACATACTTCCTGCGGGAGGACGTGGTTTATCACTTGAAAACCTGGTAGCAGTGAGCTTCGCTCCAACCTTGAGTGGCGAGGTTAGTTACCCTGACGGAATCAGGGTTGTGTGACGACTACCCAGTTACCGAAACTATTTTTAATGCGGATCAGCCCATTCTCCGCGTGGTGCCAAAATGTCCCACTCTCACACTAGCACCGTTGTCGCTGGTGACCACAGGCGGGAAACCGTGAAATGTTGTCGGCAGCTCGCCATGTGGCCTTATTTGTCAAAACATATTGTTATGTTCTTACTCTAGGTTGTGTAGGGTCACACCTTAGAGGGTACAACCCAACTCTCTCGACACTCTTGTACCCCCTCTCCCTCACCTAATCATCATTCCTCACCTAGCTACTAGTGATTCTAACATGGTATTAAGAGCACAATGCTCCTTAGGACCGAATGTTTAAAAGGGCCCACCACTACTATTTCGATCTACTGCCCGAGTCGCGCCCCTAGGAGAAACGCGAAATTCGAAACCGTGCTCTAGGCGAGACGGTTCCTTTTTCTGCCCTAGACGCGATTTTCCTTCCTAGTCACGTGCGACCCCCCCTGACCGCGCCTTAGCTGCCAGTACAGCCCGCGTAGGCCCGTCGCGAAGCCCGTACAGCCCGCGTAGGCCCGTCGCGAAGCCCGTACAGCCCGCGTAGGCCCGTCGCGAAGCCCGTACAGCCTGCGCCAGGCCGTCGCGCAGCCCGTACAGCCCACGTCAGGCCCGCACCCAGCTCGTAAAGCCCGCGCCAGGCCCGCACGCAGCCCTTACAGCCCGCGCCTGGCCCGCACGCGGCCCGTGTTACTGCTGCACTCGCTGCTGCTGCTACACTGCTGCGCCTGAACTGCTGCTGCAGTGCTGCTGCCGCCTGTACTGCCCTGAAACTGCTGCTGCTACTTGCTGCAGCTGCTCCTCCTTGCTGCTGCTGCTGCTACTTGCTGCAGCTGCTCCTCCTTGCTACTGCTGCTACAGCTAGCGCTACTCACTGCTGCTGCTACTGAAGCTAGTGCTGCTACAGCTAGTGCTACTGCTGCTGCTGCTACTACCGCACTTGCTACAGCTGCTACTGACTGAAGCTACGGCTGCTACAGCTAGTGCTACTGCTGCAGCTCCTACTCCAACACTTGCTACAGCTACTATTGACTGAAGCTACTCCAGCTACAGCTAGTGCTACTGCTGCAGCTCCTACTCCAGCACTTACTGCAGCTGCTCCTGACTGAAGTTACTGCTGCTACAGCTAGTACTACTGCTGCAGCTCCTACTACTTCACTTGCTACAGCTAGTGCTACTGCTGCAGCTCCTACTCCAGCACTTGCTACAGCTGCTCCTGACTGAAGCTACTGCTGCTTGACTGAAGCTACTGCTGCTACAGCTAGTACTACTGCTGCAGCTCCTACTACTGCACTTGCTACAGCTAGTGCTACTGCTGCTCTGCCACTGTGTCCGAGCCGCGCCGCCCAGCCCGAGCTGTCACTGCTGCTGCTACTGCAACTACTACTGCTACAGCTAGTGCTACTCGGTCTACTGCTGCTGCTGCTGCTGCTCGGTCTGCTGCTGCTGCCCGAGCCGCCCTGCTACTGCTGCTACTGGAGGGAGTACTGCTGGGAGTGGTGGAGGTGCGGCCTCCCACCCCCACCGAACCGCCCTACTGCTGTTACTACTGCTGCTGCTGCTACTTGTGCTACTGGGAGTGGAGGAGGTGCTGCTGGGAGTGTAGGAGGTGCTGCTGGCGCTGTAGGAGCTGGAGGTGCTGGACCTACTCCTGACAGTCACTGTCTGTCATGGCCACTTCCGCGGCAGTCGCTGCGGCCAGGGGTGGACAGCAGCGGGCACTGCTTCTCCCGGACGACCCCACCCCTCGGCAGCTTCGTGAGTGGGTTATTCAGCGAGGTCGTCCTGGTGGTGGAGGTTATCGTTCTGTTAAGACCGCTGCTCTTGGTGTTAGTGAGTCTGCTGCCACTCCAGGTGTTAGTCAGTCTGCTGCCACTCCAGGTGTTAGTGAGTCTGCTGCAGCTCTAGGTGCCCGTGAGTCTACCGACGCTCTAGTTGCTAGTGCGTCTACTACCACAGGTCCTGCCTCAGCTGAGGTCTTGCACACTTTCACGCTTGACTCTGGCGCGTCACGTTGCTTCTTCCGTGATTGCACCACAGTCACACCACTCACAGCACCTGTCCCAGTCTCACTGGCTGACCCCTCTGGGGGCCCAGTGGTTGCGAGAGCCTCCACGGTCCTCCCTTGTCCAGCAGTCCCCTCCGGCTCTTTGTCAGGTCTCCACCTCCCCACGTTCTCGACGAACTTGGTGAGCAACGCTGCCATTCAGGATGTCTGGGTTGATACCTTTATTCCTGGAGGGCAGCGTGTGGCGATCTGTACGTGCTCCCGGACTGGCCGTCACCTGGCTACGTTCACTCGACAGCCTGGGTCTAGTCTGTACACACTGACCACTGCGTCTGCACAGGTGGCTGAGTCAGGTCAGGTAGCTACGTCGAGTCGAGCGTCTGCATCAGGACAGTTAGCTGCGTCTTGCTCGTACCGAGTACTCACGCACGAGACTCAGCGCTGGCACCACCGTCTTGGCCACCCCTCCCTGCAGCGTCTGCGCCGCATGCACTCCCGGCTCCTGGTCACTGGCCTCCCTGAGACCCTGCCCCCCCTCCCGCGCTCACTTGCGCCGCCGTGCCTTCCTTGCGTCGAGGGGCGGCAGCGCGCCGCTCCTCACTCCTCCGAGTTTCCTCCGACCACTGCTCCTCTGCAGACTCTCCACATGGACGTGTGGGGCCCGGCCCCCGTCGGTGGAACGGACCAGGAGCGCTACTTCCTGCTGGTGGTTGACGACTACACACGCTACACCACAGTCTTCCCCTTGCGGCGCAAGGCGGATGTCAGTGGTGTCTTGATCCCTTGGATCCGTGCTACTCGTCACCAGCTGCGCGAGCGGTTTCGGCGGGACTTTCCAGTCCTGCGTCTGCACTCTGACAGGGGTGGTGAGTTCTCCTCTGGCGTCCTTGAGACGTTCTGCCAGGATAAGGGCATCGCCCAGTCGTTCACGCTTCCGGCCTCTCCGCAGCAAAATGGGATCGCTGAGCGTCGCATTGGCCTGATCATGGAGGTTGCTCGTACCTCCATGATCCATGCGGCTGCTCCCCATTTCCTGTGGCCGTTTGCGGTCCGATACGCCGCGCATCAGCTCAACCTCTGGCCCCGTGTCTCTGCTCCAGAGACCTCGCCCACACTCCGTTGGACGGGACAGCCTGGTGATGCGTCGTCGTTTCGGGTCTGGGGCGCGCTCTCCCTTGTTCGCGATACCAAAGCGAGCAAGCTCTCCCCTCGCACTCTCCGCTGTGTCTTCCTCGGCTTCCCCACCGACGCTCCACCCTGGCAGTTCTACCACCCTGCCTCGCGTCGTGTTCTGTCCTCTCAGGACGTCACCTTCGACGAGTCGGTCTGTTACTACCGACTTCACCCGCACGCGTCCCACCCGGTCCCTCTCGCGCCTCTCTTCCTGGTACCAGTCCCCCCCCCGGTAGACCCCCTTCCCCCACAGGGTCCTGCTCCCTCAGGTGTGTCCCAGGTAGATCCACCCCCCTTGGATGAGCCAGTTGAGATCTCTTCTGACTCCTCTGACTCACTTGAGGGGGGTGACGCCGTCGCCGACGACACGGCGACCACTCGCCGCACTCCTCGCTTGGAGACCCCCCCGGGTTTCCCGCCACGGCCGTCTTCGCCGCCTCCGCAGCCTGCTGCTGTGGACTCTGGAGCTGAGACTACTGGAGCTGGGGCTGGGGGTGGTGAGTCCGGGGGTGCCCGCTCTCCTTGTCTGGCTACACCCCCCGGGTTCCCACCTCTGCCGTCTTCGCCGCCTCTGCAGCCTGCTGCTGTGGACACTGGAGCAGAGACTGAGGGTACTGAGCCTGGGGGTGCTGGGACTGAGGGTACTAAGCCTGGGGGTGCTGGGACTGAGGGTACTGAGCCTGGGGGTGCTGGGACTGAGGGTACTGGACCTGAGGGTGCTGCGACTGAGGGTACTGAGCCTGCGAGTGCTGAGACCGAGGGTCCTGCCTCTGGGGGTACTACGAGTTCGGGTGCTGACTCTGGGGGTGCTGCGAGTCCTTCTGGTGTTGGTGTCGTCGGAGCTCCTACCGGAGGACCTGGAGCTACTGGTGCGGGAGGTACTGGAGGTACTGCTGGTGCTGGAGGTCCTGGAGGTGCTGCTGGTGCTGGAGGTCCTGGAGGTGCTGGAGGTACTGGAGGTGCTGCTGGTGCTGGAGGTCGGGGAGCTGCAGGTGCTGCTGGTCCTGGTGGAGCTGCTGGTGCTGGAGGTACTGGAGGTGCTGCTGGTGCTGGAGGTCGTGGAGCTGCTGGTGCTGGAGGTACTGGAGGTACTGCTGGTGCTGGAGGTCGTGGAGCTGCTGGAGCTGCTGGTGCTGGAGGAGCTGGAGCTGCTGGGACTGGAGGTCCTGGAGGTGCTGGAGGTCCTGGTGGAGCTACTGGTGCTCTTCGCCACCTTCTCAGTCTTCAGCCAGGTGCTACTGGCTTCCCTGTGGCAGGTACTACTCCTCCGTTGCTATGTCCACCGGCGGACCAGTCACAGCCGCCGCTGCTACCACACTCCCCACTGCCTGCTCCTGCTCCTTACACTGCGGTGTCAGAGTCCCTGACTGAGCGTCGAGAGCCTGAGACTCGTGCTTCCACCCCTGAGCGTCGAGAGCCTGAGTCTAGCTTTGACCTTGAGCCTGAGCCTAGAGCTGCTGTCCGTGCTCGTGTTCCTCGTGTTCGTCGTCAGCGTGCTCCGGCTGTCCCCGGCACTCACGATATGACACTCCGTCCTTCCTCTGTTCCTCAGCGT